CACTTGGAAAGCCCGGAGGTGTCGCTCTGGAAGGGCAGTGGCCGGCCAAGGGACGGACTTAGGGGAGCTTGGAAAAGGGAGAAAAAGGAGTGAATTTTTTATCGGTAAAAACTCCATTAGAGAGAAGCGCGCCGGTGTTTGTTATTGGTTATCCTCGGAAGACGGAGAGGGGTTTGTCCGGCGCGGAGGTGTCCATTGATCCGAAGGATAGTAGATCCTCGCTCCTCCTCGGACCTCCCGACCCCCCGCGAACCCCTGCTTCTTCGCTCCTCTCTCTTCCTCTCCGTCGCCGCGCCCTGTCCTCCCTCTCCTTCCTTCTCTCTCTCTGGACCCACCATTCACGATACCCGCGCAACCGTCTACAACGTTCCTTTCGCGATGGACGTATCAAAGAAATCAATTATCCCGCAACGCCCTCCCCCTGTCCCCTGCGCCCCTCGGAGACCCCGAAAGCAACCCCGTCCCGTGTCTCACATATTTATTTTATACTGGCCGCACCTTCCGCGGCTCTCCCGGCTCCAGAATGGAATCCTTTATCAAGCTGCGCTATCCCAGAAGCGCGCGCCTTCGCCCTCCTGCCGGCTCTGACCGACCAATCGATATGCCGGACGAACCTCGGCGTCGCGATATTTTCACCGAGCGCCGCATATGGGGGCACATGGAGGATATCGACGGGGGAGAAGGGAACGACCCTTTGAAATTGATCGGCGCGGACCCCCGTCGTTGTCGAAGATGCAAAACCAAAGACCACGATCGGGACGAAATCCTTGCAATACCAACGATCACGTAAGTAGAATAGAGGAGAAAAGTACCGACATAAAAATGTAAAATTTCTAAACTCATCAAGAAAATTACATGTAAATTGTATTACATACAAAAACAAAGACGACGATCGGGGCGAAATCCTTGCAATACCAACGATCACGTAAGTAGAATAGAGGAGAATAGTACCGACATAAAAATATAAAATTTCTAAACTCATCAAGAAAATTACATGTAAACTGTATTACATGCAAAAACAAAGACGACGATCGGGACGAAATCCTTCCAATACCAACGATCACGTAAGTAGAATAGAGGAGAATAGTACCGACATAAAAATATAAAATTTCTAAACTCATCAAGAAAATTACATGTAAATTGTATTACATGCAAAACCAAAGACGACGATCGGGACGAAATCCTTGCAACACCAACGATCACATAAGTAGAGTAGAGGAGAATAGTACCGACATAAAAATATAAAATTCCTAAACTCATCAAGAAAATTACATGTAAATTGTATTACATGCAAAACCAAAGACGACGATCGGGACGAAATCCTTGCAACACCAACGATCACGTAAGTAGAATAGAGGAGAAAAGTACCAACATAAAAATATAAAATTTCTAAACTCATGAAGAAAATTACATGTAAATTGTATTACATGCAAAACCAAAGACGACGATCGGGACGAAATCCTTGCAACACCAACGATCACGTAAGTAGAATAGAGGAGAAAAGTACCAACATAAAAATATAAAATTTCTAAACTCATGAAGAAAATTACATGTAAATTGTATTACATGCAAAACCAAAGACGACGATCGGGACGAAATCCTTGCAATACCAACGATCACGTAAGTAGAGTAGAGGAGAATAGTACCGACATAAAAATATAAAATTTCTAAACTGATCAAGAAAATTACATGTAAATTGTATTACATGCAAAACCAAAGACGACGATCGGAATGAAATCCTTGCAATACCAACGATCACGTAAGTAGAATAGAGGAAAATAGTACCGACATAAAAATATAAAATTTCTAATCTCATAAAGAAAATTATATGTAAATTGTATTACATGCAAAACCAAAGACGACGATCGGGACGAAATCCTTGCAATACCAACGATCACGTAAGTAGAGTAGAGGAGAATAGTACCGACATAAAAATATAAAATTTCTAAACTGATCAAGAAAATTACATGTAAATTGTATTACATGCAAAACCAAAGACGACGATCGGAATGAAATCCTTGCAATACCAACTATCACGTAAGTAGAATAGAGGAGAATAGTACCGACATAAAAATGTAAAATTTCTAAACTCATCAAGAAAATTACATGTTTCACGAAATATCAGTGAATGGACATTTCTTTTTATCCTAAACAGAGAGATATATGGTAACGAACGGAAGTACGTCGATTCAACTTTATTTCAAATCATGCCTTTATTGAAATGTATAAAAGTGTTTTCAGAATATGGGTTCTGAAAGGTGTCCTAGACGTTAAAAGAAACAGCCGGAAAGAGTTCTTTTACGGTACGGTGGGCACTCCGAACAATCACAGAGCGGTTCCCACGGAATGATTAAAAATCCCTAATCACTCCGATTAATTCCGGGGCACGGGGTGAGCGCAAGAAGGGCTCCCTCGGGAGCGCGCGGATGAGACGCGTTAAGGTGAAGTGAAACCCCCTTCAAATCAGTCGATTCGAATACAACACTTTTTTTTAAGGGTAAAAGACCAAACTGTCCGAAACTTTAACACGTCACTCCTGATCATCTAAGAATTGTCCCGACACATTGAAAATTTGGATTTTTCAACAAAATGTTTTAACTCAGCCCACACCAGAACCAAAATGGCGTCGAGCTCTCATATTTCGATCAATATACAATTATCGAAGGCTCTAATATGAGAAACTAAAGGGTCAGGACAATTTTAGGAGAATTTAGAACACTCTGGTAATCGATAAACTCGCATTTGAACGGGATAAAGGCAAAAAAAGTGTTGTATGCGCATCTATGCCAAAACGATGGGAATACGAGGTCTCGGAGTGAAAATTTAATTGACCTGGAAATCCCAGATGGCGCAGGAGGTCCCTCTGCAGGTCAATTAGGGCCCCAGAAAGCACGAATCCAGAGGATTTCTGGAGTTTTACTTCGATTTCTTGATATACATTGTACGAAAACGACAGGTGGAGTATGCCATTTGGTACAATACCCAATATAATTCGACCCAGCTGTCAATATAAAAACCAACGTCGGCAACGTAGGCCTATAGAAAAATCTTCTTTATCGACGTCGATCAAGCTCCTCGACGTGTTTCACTTCACCTTAAGCGGACAGGAACCGAAGTGAATCCGAGGATAATACGGTATTAATCTAAAATAAAAACGTTCCGGCAGGGAGGCGGGGGTACGGAGAGGGGGGCGGCGGCGTCCGGTATCCGTAAAGAGGAGGGCGACGGACCGAATGGATCGCGAATGGACGAACGCCTGGACGGGTCGGGTGATAGCGGAATGGGGTGAGTCTTCTCTCTCTCCGGGCTGGGACGAAGGCGGGACGGAGGCGGCTGAAGGAGGAAGGGAGAGAAGAAAGAGGAGACCGGGGCCGGGGAGGGTGGACGCTGCAATGGTCTCAACTGGACAGCAGGACGACCGGACTACTACTTTTATATCGCTCAGGAAATAATGGGATTCCCATCATGAAGTGGATTTCCCCGGGGAGCGGTGGACATCGATGCACGCGTCAAGAGATCCTGCGCCGTCCGCCGGCCGTATCCATCGGTCTCCTGTCCGCCCGCCCCGATATCGCCCTCTCGCTTTCGTTCACCTGCCCGCCGATTGCCCGGATCTCGAGCGCCGTGACGTCACTGGTCCCGTTCGACGTGCGTCGGAGACGATCGAGAAGAACTCGCGATCGTTACCGAGGGGGTCAAGGAAGGACGCCTCGTCTGATCTCTCAATGGACGCTATTCCTAATTCTGGTTAGACGAACGCTACAAAATGGAACGTACTTTCAATGTATCAAACATGGATCCATGATAAATTCTTATTTGAGAAATATGTATATGTTACCGTGAGTGACCGAAATTGGAGAATGTCGACTTTCACCGGTGAATGTCAACATTTACCGGTGTAAGTCAGAAATAAGGTTATTTAGCAAATATTTCGGACATACACTAAGCGACTATGTGAATGTTGACATTCACCGGTGAAAGTCGACATTCTCCAGATTTCGGTGTTTCACCGTAACATATATATATATCGCTATATATATATAGCGATATATATATGTTACGGTGGATATATATATATATAGCGAATTGAAACGCCGAACTTTGGCGTTACGTATTCGGTGCCGTTCGCGAGTGCTTTTATAAATGCACTTGGCGCGAGACTCTACCCACTTTCCTGATAAGCGAATAAGAAAAGTCGGGCTTCTTCGCAATGTGCGTCACAATGAATATAGTTTAACGCGAAGATCTAATGACAGAAGGAACAATTTTTTTTATGTAACGCTACGTTATTGACAAGGAATTGTTATTTTTCTGGGTGAGGTCTGTAGGTCTTTTTATGTCCTTCGAAATTTAATCGGTATTTCGTTACGTATGAATGGAGTATTCAGTTTCCTTATAACGTTTTCTAATAACGCGAATACGTACATTGAATTATCCACCAAATGAAGATGGGTATACTGGGTATGGAATCCCGGTATTTTCCATCACCATCCGCTAGTATCGATTAACAGACCGAACGTCATTCCATCGCAAATTTGAGAGGGCAAATTTCCCGACAGATTGGCGCGTCCATGCAGGAAATCGAGGCTTTCGATAAGCCCGTCGAAATATCTGCCTTCCAAATTCTCAGGGGTTTAAACAAAAATAAATGATTCCAGTAGCGCTTATTAGGCCAGTTAAACTTCTTGATATGAGACATCTATTTATTACCAGCAAGAAGCATTAAAAAGCATTTGTCGATACAACTTGTCCGGGCACCATTGTAATTGACGGCAGATACTTTAAAATAACACGTATTATCAGCGATAACGAATTTGTAATTCTACGTACATTATACACTGTTAAATTGCGATTAAATTTTCTCTCTTCGAATAAAACAATGTGATTACTAGGACGATTTATAATCACTTATTATAATGAATTTAATCCAAGACTTTTACATTCATGTATAACAAAATAGAGCCTCAATTAACATAAATAGATATCAATAAAAACAACCGTTGAATATAGTATCTGCTTTATTTAAGCCGTAGTAATAGACAATATAAATCGACGAAATTAGTGACTCTAAGATGCATTTAGGACCATTCCTCTATAAATAATGGGAATTTCCACATATATAAAAAATAATATAGAATCTTTCCAATGCCGTATTCAAGTAAATCGATTAAGGAAAAATATACCGGTTGTGTCGTCATAAGGCACAAGGTCCTCCTCATTAATCTTCGAGAAATGTACAATTTCTTAATCATGATTTCAGTTAGAGGAAACATTACGCTCCTGGATGTTGAAAAATAGATCATACGGAGAAAGTCTGAAATTCGATGAATTAATGTACGTGGCGCGATTCTTCATAAACAAAATTAGTTAAAAAATGTAACGTCCACAAAAGCCACCCCACGTATACCGATTCATAGAGTTTCGAGACTCGGTATAATGTCATCTCTAAAGCGCATTATTTTTCAATAACATTTATAATCTAAGCTATGGAATGCATTGGACAATGAAAAGCTTTTGGTGATATATCTCTACTTAATGAACGAATTATCTTCTTCCGTGTCTTTACCCTTTACCCATATAATTACACTGTACTAGACAATGCACAGGATAGGGTGAGTTATGGTTTCTTGACATAGAAATTTCAAAATTGATTTCTCTTAACGCTACAACTACCAAGCCCAGTTAAAAAGACTGGTTTTAGATGGGCCACCACAGCCAGAAAAAAAAACCGCCGATAGTTCTAGTGTTAACGCAAAGGACATCGACCGTATAAGATTTCATTTAAGACCATCACTCCACTTCGAATAAAGTGCCTAATTCGTTCATTTGTATGCCCTTCGATTACGTACGACGAGCATCACGTACATTTTAAAAGACAGTTTACACTGTATAGATGTTGGCTGGCATAGAAATTCCAAGGTTCATCATGTCCAACCAACACATAGTCCTTTCGTCATTCAGGCACCGCTTCTCTATCGGTCCTGCTGGGTTTTTTCTTGGACAGAGACACATTCGGTGCTGTAAAGGTATCACTAGGGTCCTGTAAACTAATTCCAGAAGAGCTGCTGGTTGTCGAGCTAGATTTACCACTGTTGGAATTAGAGATCTGAATATTCGGGGTAGAAGTTCTACCCTTCAGAAGGACGGCACGTTCTGTACTTTTGCTGATGTCTTTTATCGAGATCGAAGAAACGTCACTAAAATCGGGCAATCCACAAATATTATTTTCATGGGACTTTTTCATCGGAGAGATCATTCTTCGTGCGGTATTCATCGGTGTTATGTCCGAATTTGACGAGGAGCTGAGGGCACTTGCTTCCCTGGTTTTCTTTAACGTAGCTACAGCCCACCCTAAACCTAATTTCTTCAACGCATCCTCCACTCCCTCCTGCGATGAATCCTTTAACATGTCTGATGTGGGCGTACTCGTGATCTCGGAAATTCCCGATAAACCGGAGAAGCTGTTTGAACTCGTTGACGTTAATTTGTCCTTGTTGGCTTGGTTCTGATTACAAGGTTCCACGGAACTGGATAGTACGGACGGCACATACCGCTCCGAGCGGTCGGAATGTTCTTGTTTATTTTTAATTGATGAATCAATTTGGTCACCGGTAGCGCCTTTTTCTCCTTCGATATTGACGATCTCTCCCAAATCCCTAGAATCGGTTGAACCATCTTTATGCAGCGTTAACGACTTTGGTTTCCGTGGGGTAGTGTATACATTCGCATCTAATGATTCCCACTTTGAAGCAGACGTTAAGATTTCTGATGACACCTTCAAAAGTGGGTTCATTTTTCTTGAAGAACTTTTGGATAGTGAGCGAGGTGTGTTTGTTGCAGGCAATGGAGCTACGTGAACAGATGGTTTCCCAGGGTGTTGAGGTGTACTAGGAACTTGGATCTCAGTCATTTGCTTCGTTGAAGGTTCGATGGTCATTTTCAGACTAGAAACTTCCGATCTTGCATCTGCAGGTAAAGCACGTTTACTCTTGCCACTAGGACTCCTTACGCTACCTTGACTTCTGTTTGCTGTGTCGGGAGTATCAAACTCCACGATTGTAGATAATTCATGACCAGGTGATTCATCATCAGTCCTGAAATCCCCAGAATATGTAGTCATATAAGACTATTGAAGCATATATGTAAATAAAACCTTTAGTATCGAGCCTCTTACCTAAAAGGACCACTGGCTAAAGTTATCGGTGGTCTCCCTCTGTTATTTATTGCAGAGCTACTTGACGATGCCCTAGGAACTTTCGGAATTCCGGCTAGTAAAGGAACAAAGTCCATTTCCTTTGGTAGCTGAGAATTAAATATTCATTTGATGCGATAAGAAACAAATTCAAGAATTTACATACTCAAACGCAAATGAGAAAAAGTGAAGATCTATTATTTTCCCTGTACACAAACTTGTTCTCACCTTCTAATAAGTATTTTACATAAAACAAACCTTCGTATTGAAATCTTTACTGTTGATTAAAGCAAATTCACATATGCACAAGAAACCTTATTTGTATATATGATATAAAGGAAAATACCTGAATATTAGGATCATGTTCTTTTGAGTCATGGGGCTTTGCTTTTTGGACCTGCGGTGAAAGCTGTCTCTCAGGAGGGCTATGTTGACGTGGAGAAGGCGTTCGCTGTTTACACACGTTTTCGTTCTCCTTCTGAGTCTCAAAAGACTTATCGAGCCCTTTACTTTGTTCTAAAATTTCTTTAGATAATTTCTCGACGATGTCCTCCTGCTGACGGGAAGACTGAGATGTAGGCCAGGACTCATTTTCCATTGATAGTCTCATTGCTGTGTGAGGTCGATTCGATGTACGTAAACGATTTAAACAAATGTTTACGGGTACGTCGCTGATTACCCTGGCTTTCGCACGAGTGTCCATTTTTTCAACACGGTCTTCTGTACTGGTAGATATCGAGTGTGTAATCTTTGCCTCCCGCGCAATGTTTGAAGTCGCCTTATCACTGGAACCGGATGGCTGCGGTGTTCCCTCACCGATAATAATTCTTTGAGATTCTTGAAGAGTCTTCGCTAATTGATTGTGTATTGCTTCTATACTTTGCACTAATCTCCGCACACTGTACAACTCGTTTCTCCCTGTTTGCGACTGAGGGAGTTGCATGAAACTAGTTTCATCACTTGGTGCCATATCTGAGAATTCCATACCTAAAACAATGAAGATCGTTTAATCACTATGCAGTGTTCAAATTCATAATCTGTAAATAATATCGATCGTAACTACGTAGTGTATATATTAAGTAATATCTACTACCTCTATCTGTATAGTCACGAATCTTACCCCTCTGTTCAATGCGTACTCTTTCGATTAAATCGGTCAACGATGCAATCCTTTCTGTACACATATTCTGCAGATCTTCATATTTCTGTAAAATCTCAGGACAATTATTCAATGAATATCTCTGAATAATATCAACTTTCTCATGAAACAGTTTGCAGGTAGGATTAGTACATAAACACGTTTCCACGGTTTCTGGTTTTTCCTTGGAAGATTTTCGTCTTCTTTGACGTTGAGAAGACCGTTCCCGAGAAGCAGATCGACTATCCTGGTTTTGGGGCGTTTTATGGGCTCGTATCTGTTCATTAGCCATTTTATATTGTAGTATTCTACTAATTCGTTCAGGATGAGGTATATTTGATGGAATGTTAAGAACTCGAGGTGACGGAGTTTCCGGCGAGGACACTGGACTAATTTCTCTTCTTGATTGTCTCGGGTCATCGGTCACAGATGAATTAAGTAGTTCTAGTATTGGAGTAGTATTATTCATCATACGACGCATCGATGCAGGTATTACTGGAGGTGGACTAGCATACGAGGTAGAAGTATCCGATGTATCTCGAGGTCTTAGAACTATGTTAGGGCTTTGATGAAATTCTTGATGTGCTCTACTTGTTGAGGGAACTTGTACATCAGGTGTTACGTATACTTGGGAGCTGTCAGTACTCGTATCCGTTGGTTTTAGCTGGAAAGGAGGATCAACGTTCACCTTAAGTCCACCCTTGTTGATACTTATTTTAACTTTCTTAGCGGGAGATCCTATAGATACAGATTTTGTTGTGGTCTTTTGAGGGCTACTCGTACGAGAAGCAGGGGCGGATTTCGATGATTTCTTTATAGGAGAACTGGTTTTACTGCTAGGGACGGATCTGGGCTTTAGGAAAGCTCGCGATGACACTCTTTTGAATCGTTTTGGAGATTTTTTCTTCTTTGGCGTTACCTTGACATGTTTTTTGTCAATATCGATCACTACACCTGTAACTACCGATTCTGTTGATGCTGCAGTACTCTCTTCTTCTGCTTCTCTAGAGATATTAGTTCCATTTGATTCGTCTGCATTTTGACCAGATGTATCCACTGGTCCCTCCTCACTAGCCAAGCTGCTTTCACTAAACTTTTCTTGCACTAATGTGACCTGAACACTTTTATCTTGTGATACCCTCATTTCATCCAATATGGATGTCTGAACTGCGATCTCCATTTGCTTTTTAGGTAATGGCTCTTTCTTCTTCGTCTTTTTTATTTTCTCAGAGGCTTCATCACTTGACATGTGTATTACTTTAATTTCTGGACTTAAAGGTTTTGGCCTCACTGCATTCCTTTCCAGCATGGCTTCTGTACGTTGTTCAGTAAACAAAGCTGTCATACTTGAGCTTAAAATATTGTCAGGTAAATCTACACCGAACTCTCTCAATAGAAGCCGTTTCTGTCTCTCTACCCTCTTTAACATTTCTAAGACTTGTTCTGCGCGAGATAACTCTTCACCTTGTTCGTTGTCACCCTGTGTAGGCCCATGAACTTGTCGTTCCTTAAATGGTCTTTCTTGCCAAACTGGCCGTGGAGAACGTACATGAATTTCCTGATTAGCCCGAGGAGTAATTGTTACTATTCTCTCTTCAGTCTGTGAAGAATTGGCTGTACAAGTATTATGCAAAATATCCGTGAACGCACGGTCCATTTTCCTTTGTTGTTCTTCTTGGCATTCTTTACGTCTCGATCTATTCATATGAGGGTTCTTGCCCTAAAATAAGTAACCTCGAATTAAAATTTAGGTACAGGACAGATGATAAATTGCAGAATAATGTTAATTACTTACTGCACGATCATGTAACTGACTGGCTTTCAATTTACGTTCCTCGCTGGCAAGGCGATCAAGATTTTGTACAAGTGCCTGATAATCGCGGCGCACTCTATTACGCAGTATGGCTTGATTTCCTCGCTGCTGAGCATTTATTTTACGACATTCAATTAATTGAGACACCACACTTTCAGATTCCCGTACACGTCGAGCAGCGTCTTCGGCATTTGGCTACATTTATGTAATAGTAATATGTTAACTGAATGCTGATACCGAACATCGACATTTTAAGTTAATAATGCAAACCTCAGTTCTTATATCAGTTCGTTCCACAAGACCAGCAGGACGATCATAAGCATTTCTTTGGCGTGTATTATGATCATATAATTGAACTTTACTTCCAGCCAATGATGTATGATGTTTTGGAGTTGTTTTAGTTTTTCTTGATTCCTTCCCACCATCAGAGAAATAAGAAGAATCATCACTCAAAGAACTGGTACTACTTGAAACGGAACTTTGCGGCTTGTAGTCTTCAGGATTGTAACTACAATGAACAGATAAATAGTTAACAAAATCTTGATAAGATTTTAACGATATAACAGATTATAGAATTCAGGTTCTTCTATCTGCATGTGCTTGCAATTTGTATTCAATCTAAGATTGATATATTGATTAGAAACGTACCTAGCTATTTTGTCAGCTTTGGAAGGTGTTACTTTTGAGACTGGTGTTGATTTTCTAGGTTCTTGATCATCTGAATCACCACTAACTTCAGCTATATCTTGAAGCCGTGGTATAGTAGAAGCTGTTCTTGACATTTCGCTTGTTGTTTCCGAGTCATGCTTAAACGATCTTATTTTCTGCAGTCCAGATGGACCAGGTTGTGGTGAAAATGATTTATTTTGACCTGTAGACGATATAATTCTTGGAGGTGATTTTGCTTTCTGCTTCTCTGCAATAACCTATAAAATGAAATTGATTACTAAAGTTAATAAAGAATTATAAACAACGAAGGATGAAGCATATAGTTGAAACCACGAAACTCAAAATAAATGTTGTAATTGTTGTTACGTTGCACTCATTTAAATGTATTATATACTGACATTTTAACATCATATTATACATATTAGAAAAAATTGTTCAAACCTTTGAATCGATTTGGTTAGAAGTTGGTTTTACCGATGACGCTTTATTTAATTTCTGTTCTTTCGTTTTCACAGGAGACTTTTGTTGACTGGGAACATTATTGATGTCCTCCTCTTCTAAGACGTCTGAATAATCTTCACAACATTTCTTAGTACATGATCGTTTTGAAAGATTAGCAACCAAGGAAGATCTTACATTTTCTACTTCTCGGACCTGTTGTAATCTTTTCTGATGTGTTGCTTGTGGATTCTCTTTCTGAAATAATTATTGCAACATATTATTTCTGTTTATATCCAGAATTATTTCATTTTGAATATAACTTACTTGTGATGTTTCTTTTAAACGTTGTCCAGCCTCTTTCCCCCTCTCTATTGCAGAAACTCTATTTTTTCTATTCTTTGCCTCAATCAATGTTTCGGCATCTGGTTGAAGCGTAGCTGATATATGTGCTTGACCAATATCTTCAAGCTCTTCTTGATACTTTTGCTGAATATCCATGATCTTTCGATCGTGCATTTTTTTGAGCTCCGATTTTCCATCCTTTTCAAGTCGTGAGAGCTCTTTCTCCGTTACATTCCTTGCACGCTCTAATAACCTATTCGATATTTCCTTTGATTGTTGTCGTACCTGAGGTGATGCCACATCATTCGTTTAAATGTAACCACATTATTGTTTACATTAGAAATTCGCAATGGTCTTATCTTGTATATTTGTCAAAATTTGTAAGTTTTTCAAACTGAAACGCTAAGCATCCCAGCTGGAAATACCGATTAATAAATATCAATTGTGAATAGTAATTCACAAAATAAGTTAATCAGTAACCAAATACAAATGATAGAAACCGTATTACGATTTGTACAACTACTATATCCGGTCAACATATTGAAAATAAATAAAATCAAGATTCCCACCTGTTCAAGACGTAACCTCCTTCGTCGATCACGCTCACATTTCTTTATTTGGTCCAGATCGGAAAGAACCATCCTTCCCCTTCGAATACTAATTGGGTTCCCATTAACGGTCACATTTATCGACATTATAAAATAATAAAAATTCTATCTAAACATTCATTACTTTTTAAAATAGCTTTTAAAAGTCAAATCCAGTCAAATTCGTAATGACAGCAACGGACACTCTCCGACTATTCTAAATGATCCAATCAGCGAGAACTATTTAGAATATATCCAAGAACTGTACGCTTATTGGTCACATGCAATGTTTACCATTTCATGTTAGCAATCCCATTGGTTCACAACATGGCGTCTAGTATTATCCTTTTCTCTCTTACCCAGCAATGATCTACCTATCTCAACCAAAATGGCGGCAGAAATGCTTCTGCTGTTCTGGCGCGAATTTTTAAAATGGTGTTTTCGCTTAACCTGGAAATCGACATTGAGGATGATACTGAATTTATAAAAAATGCCTGAAGATATCTTTAAGCTGCTTTTTATATTCCCAAACGTGATGAAAACCGTATCTTCACTCTACACTCTGTATCGAGCAAGCAAAAAAAATAAATTTCAGAACAAGATTGCGTTTCATAATCATATTTTATGCGAGTATTAACTGTAGACAAATGTTAGCATATCATTTGGTACGTTCTAAGAATGGCAGAACTGGATTTCTTACACCTGCCTTAACCCTATTCTACCTATATTATGACAGAGTTAAGCACGTTTTACATATGTGAGGTTAGAATTTATTGCCCCATCCCACTTCTAACAATTTGCCTATCCTAACTTAATAATCGCGATTGGGATGGATTTCGCTGCTTTCTACAAATACTACCTTGAGGTAGTTTTCAATCTCCTAACCCTGGACAAAGTTTATCATTGAATTGAATTTAATGCGTTTTACGACAAGGTTAAAATGTTCTCTCCTATCTCTGTCCTAAGCTTAAGACACCTTCAAGTATTCAGAAAAACGATCCACGATTTCTCCACAGGTTGCCTTCAAAGATCGTCAACGACGGAGAACAAGAGCATGCAATTGGTTGAGGGTATGAAACGAATACACACGTATTAAGTCGGTAATAACATATATTCTATATATAACATGATACTTATAGGTATAAGTATATCTATATTCATATTTATANTATGTATATAATAATTAATAAAATAGAATGTTTAATAATGTTAATCGTATCGCCTACGATATATTATCATCTCGCCACCTTCATCGTCCTGATCGTCGCCGAGGTCGCCGTCGTCCTCGTCGTTGCCGTCGTCGAGCATCGAACTACCCTACCATTAACTTATCTTCCTAAAACTAATTCCATCTCGTACGTTTAATTGAATAACGAGGACAACGCGCTGGGGGAATTTCTCTAAACGTAACCCATACGGCACTGAAGTCTCCGTTATATTTCAGTGGGGTGCAGCTCATATGCTAGGGCTGCAGCTGCAATTATGTTTCGGAAATGTTGAGATAACTTTCTGGGCCGTATGGGAAGCCACGTGTCGGCGTGGGTGTGAACGTAAGACCGTACGAGCCTCTCTTAAATATTTGCGCAGTAAACCGCGAGCTTAAACCGTTTATAAGGAGTTTCGAAGCCACCCTCTCGGGGGGCTTGGATCCATTAGTCGCTACTTATCCTCTTTCTTAAAGATCTACCAATAGATTGCATACTTACTCCAATATCATTCGCATCGAACGAGTCGCAGGAAAAAAATGTTTCCTTGGTAAATTGCAAAAGTCGTAAAGTAAGTTGTATCTCGCGCATTTACGCAGGCGCTCTTCTTCCTCTCGTTAGAACGAGGAAGACCGAGATCGACAACGTGCTCGTGGGTCGGAACATTCCTAGCTCAAGGAATCTGGACGTCAGAGTTAACGACTTTGAATATTGAACGTCTGTTCGAAATCCCATTCAGCCTCGAATGTAGAACTCGAATCCCAATTCTTGGACATACTCAATTTCGGGATTCAAAAGCTCGACTGCGACGAGGGAGGATTGGTATTGCCTTAACTAACCCATAACAGCTAATTTTCCTACAAGTGGTATGACACGGAACTACAATGACCTAATTTGTAATCACACAGAGGTACCGTTTTGCTACAGCGCAATGTTTGACCATTTTCACAAGTTACGTCTCTTATCAAACCGAGAAGCCGTAACAGCGCGATCCTTTTCTTTAACCGAATTCCCTTCACAGCAGACTTATTTCCTTCTCAACGAGTAACCTGCGCTCCTAGAATGTACTAATTTAAGTGTAACCTCGTTTCCCGATTTCCCGAATTTTATGATCCTACGAGGTCGTGAAAAAATGGTAAAAACGTATCTCTAAAGGTATTTAGAACTACGGGCCATTTTACACGCGTTACAATGCCTTAAAATCTTTCTACTTCGGCTTAGCCTTAAAGAAGACCTCTTCGTCATGACCACCACGTGTTTGTCATAAGCTCGGTATCGCTACCGCAACCTAAACCATTAATTTTAATCATGTTGACAAGGAAGCCACGTACCGTCCTTGGCAGCGATTTTTACAGAGTGAGAGACCGTGTTCCGCTTTTGCTGCAACAGTCATTAACGGCCTTGTCGGACACGTGTCCAAAATCAAGGCGACGCTGACCGAGCGTGCACTCATTCGAGAGAAATGGAAAATCTTAAACGTTACTTCGATTAACCCAGGAGCAAAACCGGAAACCCTCGATCTCCGCCAATAGCGTGCCAAAACCGGAAAGATTCGAGTAATAGACTCAAGAGACTGAACTTTCGGATTCCAATACGAACTCCGATCGTCGACTCCGAGCGAGAGAGAGAGAGAGAGAGAGAGCCGCGAATCCCGAGTGTTGCTTCCAACTCGCCCCGACGAATTACGCTAGAATTTACGCTATAATTATACAATTGTCATACCCTGGGAAGAGTCGCAGCAACTCGAGCGCAGTGCCGAGCTCGACCTGAGAGCCGAGAGGGATGCTCTTGTCGTGTACGTGTTACCGTGAATGACCGAAATTGGAGAATGTCGACTTTCACCGGTTAATGTCAACATTTACCGGTGTAAGTCAGAAATAAGGGTATTTAGCAAACATTTCGGACATACACTAAGCGACTATGTGAATGTTGACATTCACCGGTGAAAGTCGACATTCTCCAGATTTCGGTGTTTCACCGTAACGTATGTATATATTAATAATATATATATATATAATATTTGCACGAACGCTCGCAATGGCTGTATATATATACACGAAATATACACGTACGATAGGTATATCGTAGATATATATTTTCTCTATATATACACATATAGATGATTTTCAGTACGAATGGACGCCGAGGCGTCCGAGACAACGGCAAGGACAACACCGAGGGCAGCGACGACGACGATGAGTTCGAGGACGATTACCAGGTATGTGTGAGTGGGGGGGGTGTATGTGTATATATGTTTAGATAGAATTATTTAGACGCGATCGAAGTGGTAGAAGCGTAACAAGGTAGAGATTAGACGTCCGGAAAGTTCGTGAGTTCTCTTGTTTTCTCGCCGATCGGCACGAGCCACGGTTTCGCTCGTCTACTCTAAACCGCGAATCTTACGAGTTACACTGTTTTATTTTCTCGGCCCGACCCTATACGGCAAGCAAGAGGAAAGCGGAACTTTCATCGCAGGGGGTTCGGCACGAGGGTGCCGAGCCAACGACAGAAGAAGACCTCGTCGGGCAGCTTGCGCTCGTCCACCCTGGTCTTCGTCCAACGAGATACAGACATTCTACGTATTCGGTTTAATATGAATCCTCTAGAGGACATCGAACGGGGATTTGAACTTCTCGAAGAGGCACAGGGGGTAGCGCAAGCGTGCCGAGCGAGCCAGAGGATCGTGAGACGTCCTCTTCGACGAACGTCGCCAAGGAAACCCTCTTAGCCCTTTGCGCTCCGGGGTTGCCTCTGGGACGATAATTTGATCAGCCAAAGGAGACGGTCGGGCGCAAAGGGTTAAACACGGGTCACATCCCATAACTCGACTCCATACGCTTAGCGACTTCGGTATTAAATATGCATTTAATCGGAACTACGGCTTGGAACGGCCGATTAAAAAAAATATATAAGAAACAGGGTGGAGAGGATCCGCGATCGATCGCTGGCGAGGATCGGAACGACGCAACGTTAAAGATGGCCTCGCTCTTGGGTTTGGCATTTCTTATTTTTCTAACCGCGCCTCTCACTTTCTTTCGAGGATCCTCGACGACTGTTTCTCGAACTTGACGTCGAGTGCCTAGCCTATACCCGATGGCAGAAATCGGATCGTCGGTTTACCCCCTTCGTGTTCACGTTTAACCTAACGTACGAACCCTCGCCCCCCGAAAGTGAGAATTTCGCGAAGCTCGACGATCAGCGTGCCTCGGCATCGCGTATAGGCCAGACACGTGAATTGTACTAGTGCTTAGTAGATAGAAAAAAAAAAGAAAAAAAAAATATATATATATCGGCCAGTAAACGACGAGCCTTATGCACAGATCTAAGCCCCGTGTTGTGCGCGGCGATGCGTGTGACGGACGTCGCTGACGTTTCACTTATGGTACGCACACGCAACGCACCCGCCGCTTCCGCGTGCGCAACATATGCATCGTACGCAAATTTCCTGATTAAACTCTAGCTCCTTTCCTCGATCCTGAGATCCCGCGAACCAGGGTCCTCGAGCTTCGGCTTTTACGATCAACCGGCCAACTAGGGACGAGCTTTTGCTTGATAACGACACGACGCTCGCGTGCGTGATACGCGTTTCGACGCCCATTGGCTACTTTCCTTTCGCACACGATATGATCATCGGGAGAAAAAAAATTCATCCGAAGAAACCGGAATGCCCCGACGAGAATTATATACCGGATTAATAAACTGTATACCGATAGAAAATGACGAGTTCCCCTAAACCGGGCTAGGTATAACTGGCTGTCGAGGCATCGTCTCGTTACGTTATTTATTTATGCATCTTATTATGCATACAGGATTAATTCGCGAGTTGGGTTAAAATATGGCGTACATCTCCGCTGAGAGGAGAATACGTTGCTCGTTACCTGCACGATAGTGATAAGATTTAAACCGACCGCTTTCTCGAGACGTTCGACACCGAGATCGATAAAATGAACGACAGGGGATATACCGCGAAAGATGTTAAAATATGAAAATCCTGTATTTGTAACGATGCAGTATTTTCCATTAATAGGTACTATGTCGAGGAGAACGGGCGATACTTTCCTCTCAGCGCCGAACAAGAAATTCAGGAATCATCAGACGCGAGGTGTCCGCCTCGCGCGTTACATCAAACTATACGAATTGTGCAAATTATCCCCCGACTCGGGAAAAAATTTCATCACGGGCACACTTAACCGCACACTAATCACACTTTACAACACGATTACCATATTAAGATCGCTTAACAATTAAGAACGTGCAGTATAAAAACCGCGCGCGCTCAGCGCGCTTCCGAGCGCTAAGCTCCGTCCGGATCGCGCGACCGAACCGAATAACTAATAAGAAATCAAAATCGAAGTCGATCGAGTCCCTCAATAAAAGGAATAACTCCGTGACAAAGTTCCTCACCGAGGAGTACAACAATTTACGTCGTCGAGCCGCGCCAAGGGAAAGGAAAGCAGCCAAGATCGGTAGCATGAACCTCTTTCTCGAAATCCCCGGCCGATCGCCTCGGGTTGCGACCTCATGATTTGCCTGGATCATCGAGAAATACCAACGAGTTCTCTGGCGCATTATCGCGAGGTTTGCCCGCGAATAATCGTAACTTTTTCCCCTTTTCGGCGGCGGCGGAACCAACGGCGATCGGCGAGGAGGAGACGATGGCCGCGACAATTAATTAGTCGCAAAATGGTAGCACAATCGCCATTAATAGTAGTCGTAACTTTATCGATATTAAAATAATATATATATATATATATAATAGTAATAATAAAAATAATATAATATGTCTTTGCGCCGTACGGCCGACCGCGAGTAAGGGTCCGAGCGAGCGTGGAGGGCTTCGCGCGCGCCCCCGGGCGAGAGGACTCGACGTCGCCAGGGTGTCACCGTGGCCTTCTCCAGCAGTCGTTACGCGAAATGTCCTAGAGGGGCCTGGTGACGTTCCAAAAAATAAACCAGGGCGAAAACGCCTTCGGCGCGCCCCAGGACCTTACTCCGAGGTGACGGTCGCTCGCTCGGTGGATTTTTCCTTCGGCCGCCCCATATGGAAATTCGGGTGTTCCGGGTTAATTCGACGCCAGGCGTGCCGCGCATTCGTGAGAGTAAGGTCCTGGACCGCGCGTCGTTCCGCCAGGACGTCACGGGACTCCACTAGCAGTCATGATTTGGTGGGAAGGTCGTCTCCGTCGGCGGGTCGGAGAACACCCCTCGAGCGGCGGGGACCGTATCGGCCGGCCGTACACGTTGAAATTGCATTTCATTATAATCGACATGAGATCGTTTTGGTATAATAAATCCCGGCCTAAGGTAATCCGCGACGGGTTAAAATCGCACGACCGGCAATAGAGCCGGGCGACCCGTTCCGGGTCCGCGTCGATAATTTACCATTAATGTATAACAACGACGAGGACGATGACGATGATAGGCGGTGACAGCGAGAACAACGATGACGACGGGAATAACTGCGGTGGCGGTATGCGCGTTTATGCGGTTAATCTACTATCGGTCGCAGGCATAAGGACGATATCTCGCGAGCGGGCTCGTTGGGTTTCCCTAGGAGCGCGAACAGCCGGAGGTCTCGGCAACGAAGCGCAGGAAATTTCACGATCTTAGGTACCGTTCGAACATGGGTTGTCTCGGCCCGGTTAAGGTCCATCGGACCGGTTGCACTCTGGCAGAGATTCGACGGGAGGTCGTAACTCGAGAAAAAGGAAAACCATCGATCTCGTGGCACGAGTGAACTCGGTCTTCCAAACGCATCTCCGTTAGCGCGGAAATCCTGAAGGACGTGGTTCCTCCACCCGTTAACAAGCAAAGACGGTGAGAGAACAAACGAGGTGACGCCGCTGTACCGGGAAGGTCGTTCCGTATAAGTGTACAAAGACGAGTTACCGAGTAATATCGTAGAAAACTACTACATTCTAGGTCTTAGATTTCAGCGTGACGTCAAGGGCGGACCGAAGTGAAGGGACATTCACGGTGCACATCGAGAGGAGTGTATGCTTATTTTGTCGGTAGAAGATGCCAACGATCGTTAGGGGGAATTTCCCACCCTGGGATATCCTTGAGAATCCTCGAGGGATTGAGCGCACCCTGGGACTTCCGCGCCGCGCGGACCCCCCGGAAGCGAGGAAATCCCGCCGTGCCCCAGGTCCGTCGGGATTTCTAGAACGCTTCGAAGGAAATATCGGATGGCCCTGCGGACTCCTAGCTTCCGCTCGATCGGCTCGAAGCTGAAACTGGAGTTCAGGGAACTCCAACGGCCGGCACAGTACCGCCGGCTTCTAAACTATCCTTTTTAACGGCTGGTAATTATTTACGACGATTAAGCAGCCGCGACCAACTTTCACGGTAGGTCTCCGGTTACGAAAATCACGATCGAGTCTTTAACGCGGTGACACCGCCCAGGGAGTCTACGACCTGGCGACGCCGAGGCGTCCACGCGTAGACGCGTAAAGTCGATTGCACAATTGGACGTGCGAGGTGCACAATCTTTGATCACAGATGGAGCTTGGGACAATTTTTGATCACAGACGATGATTCGGTAGAGCGCCGAAGCTGCGCCGCTCTGATAAAGGCTCAAGGATCTTACGTAAAATCGTCCAGTTTAATTCCTTATGTTTCGACTCGTGTACTTGGCTCCCAATCGTGCAATGAGCTTAGCATCCTTAACTGGGTACTCCGTTTCCACCGTTAGGATTACCCCGCGTGGTAAAACGCCAATATAACGCTACAACGCACTTTTAGACACACGAATCGCTCCTTTAGCGAAAAGTCTTATCGCCACGGAGCGAACGCGAGAAACAACCTGTCTTCGGTACACAACCGGAGTTTCGCCTTTCTCCTCTAGATCCCGACTGCGCGATTAATCGGTATACACAGCGATCGATCTCCGTATTTTCGGAAACTTATCTGACAGCGACAAAACGGGTAACCTTGTCCACTGGCATCGTCCCACCCGTTCCCAATTTACAATTCAGAGATGACTTGGCCGATCTTCGATGAAACGAGTGTTACACGCAGGTAGAACGGAAGTACGTGAAAATTTCGGCATCCCGTCGTTACCGAGTAATCGATGGATCGATCGATCGCCCAAGTCATCCCGAGACGAGGGATGATATCGCGGGTATCACCGATAACGAACGGCCCTCCGACCGACCGCCGTTTTTGTACCGCTCACCGACATCTCTGTATATATATTATAGTTTTACGATAAAAAAAAAAACCAAAAAAGATCCCCGTCAAAAGATGCACCCTCGGAAACGTGATCGCGGATCCGCGCGGTCCGAGGTTTACGGAGCGGAGGTAAAGATACGACATTTCGTATGAGCGCCTCGTCGCGGCTCCGCGAACGATACAAGATTTCCTAGTGGCCTGTCGGGAAGATTCTGTCATCCTGGAAGCATAATTCGACGTTGCGGCCCGAGATGAGTATTTCCCCGGAGACGGGAGGATCGTCGCTCGTACGTGGACGGGTCTCGTCGCAACGGCGACCGCGGAGGTGCTCGCGATAGAAAGTGAAAACGCGAGGTGAGAGTATCGCCCCTCCACCCCTCGTCCCTATCGTATGATGGGTGATCGCGCGAGAACGCGGGCGAAACGATCGACCGGAGCGCGATCGTGCGCTCTTGGCGTCCACGTAAAACCCGAAGAGAACGGGAAACCCGGCGTAAATCGACCCTAGCGCATGCGCCAAGTGGCGGTAAATCAGCGTCACCGACGTCTCAATCGGGTAGATATTAATTCAATTACCGCAATTAAACCACTCGGAGTAAGCGCAGGATATGCCTCGTCGAAATCTCGCCGATTAACGCGGGCGCCGAGGGCACGACCGCGTTCCTAAAGATAATACTCTCGCGTACCGCGTATACTTCCGCGTAACATGAACAATGACATTTTATCTCCTTATTACTGGTTGTCTGGCAGTATAGAATTGGTGTATAAAACATCCTATCCCTTTTCCTCACTCCGAGCCCTTTCCTCGCCCCCTCTTTCTGGATTTCTCTCCTCTCCTGACTCATTACGCTGCGTCCCCGCGCCTGATGCGGCCCTTGGGGCCCGATTAATTTAGATAAAATATATCACAATTCGCTCATTCCTCCGACACGCTGGCACTCTCGCTCCGGTAGGTAGCCCAGAGCTCCTTCCCTCTCCCCGTCATCCTCTCTCTCTATCTCATTCTCTCCGGTGACGAGCCCAGCGTCGAGTCAGCTTCGAGTTCCACCGCGTCTCTGTCGTTTCTCCGAACCTCCCCGTCTAATCGACCCCGGGTGACAGAGGCTCGCTAACTTTGCCCCGAACGTCGTAACCTCTGGTACCGGGCCGGCGGTCGCTCCACGTCCGAAGTCGGCGCGGCAGACGAGGGAGGTCCCCGGCGGCTCCCCGAGGAGCCTTGGGTCGAACTTAGGGCAAACAACAACCCGAGCCTCGAACTAGGTACCCGGGAGCTGGATCCACCCCCGCATTGGCTCGGTTGATCTCGCTCGACGAGCGACCGTTCGATCCTTGGGGCCGAACCCCATGACGGCGAACCGAGCCCCTAACTATCCCTAAAAGAGACTGGCGAATCTCCGTTCGTGGCGCGATCCGCTCGCGATCCGCTCGCGATCCGCTCGCGATCCGTCATGGGATCGGGCCGCGACGGGTTTCGCCGGGTCTCCGTCGCGACGCTCGTCCGAGGTGGTACCGCGGTACCGGCGCCGCGCCGATCGAGGGGGTCGCGACGATGCGAGGGCCTCCAGGGCCGCGTCGCTGCCTCCGAGGTGGCCCTCGGTGGCCCTCGAAGGGCCTCGGGGGTTTCGCCGACTGCTGGCAGTTGACAGTCGGCGTCGACGTTTGCACGGTGCTCGGGACGCAGGCGGCCGACGATGGGGGCTGCTAGGCGGGGCGGCCCGGCCGGACCCCGGCCTAGTCGCCGAAACGACTGCACGCCTTCTTCCACTTGCACTGGGTGCACCAGAGGTCCCGGTGCTCCATCCCGTAGACCTTGCGGCATTTTTTCGTCTCGCCGCGGATCCGGCGCGGGGACGCCGGCAGCTTGTTCGACACCGTCAGCAGGCCGATGTTCTGCTGGTACGCCTGGAACGGTCGCGGCGAGAGCTTGATGTGCTTGATCGGCGTGCTCTGTGGAGAAAAACGAAGACCTTCCGTTAAAGCGTGCCGATATGGCGGTTCGATCTACGCTACCGGTTACAAAGTCATCCCTACTGGGCACAATCGGAACCGTGAAATCCTGCGGACCGTTGTTGGCCAGTTATACCCGCGCTACCGAACCACGGTGTAGGTAATTTAGGAGCATTCGGAGCATATAAAGTCGACCCCTGGTTTTTTTACGGTGCAATATTCCTACATGATGGCAGATCCTCGGAGACGCCTCCTGCTTGCATAAACATTCGCATCGGGGGAGTCCCAGAGTCGCTCGTGTGCGGAACTATGAAATTCAAGATGGCGGCCGGAAGTTGCGGACCGCTCCGAGGAGAGCTGACCCAATTCCCGTGCAAATCCGTCCCCGGGATGGCCTCGGGGTTACAAACTTCTCCGAACCCCACTTCTAGCCTCTTCTCCAGAGAGAAAGTGAACTACACTTGTCGCCCGAGCGTTTCGTCGTAGACTTTTGCCCGACTTTCGCGGCACCCGGTCGACGGTCGATACTTAGGTTAGGGACCGCCGCCGTACCTGGGGTACAAATAACCGTAATTAGGGTACCCCGTACTTACCGGCGACGCTGCCGCGGCGAAGGTGCCGACTCGCTCCCTGATACCGACGGCCATGGGGTTCTCGGGACAGTTACCGACTGCCGGATTCGCTTCCAGGCGAAGCTGCTTCTGATATTCCGGGTCCTCGTGCGGTGGCCTCGCCATGTCGCGGTGCGACATGGTCGGCGGCGAGCTCATGTGATCGACCGCGACTTCCTGGTAATAGAACTCCTCCTCGTGGTCCGACATATCGTCATCCTCCTCGTCCTCGGGGCCCTTCGATTTCTTGGGGCTGGAATGACAAAAGAGGGAGGCGAGCCCTCGAGTCACCGCCATTTTGGAGGACCAACAAGAGGCAATCGGCAGGGCGTCCTTGACGGGATGCGATCTTAGGAGATGGACGTTGCTAAAAGTTTGTCTAGACGAGTCGTTCTCTATCTTATCAGTCGGTTCAAGGTCGCCTCGACCAGAAACGTTCCGCTCTACCGATGTGCACACTCGCCTTGATTACTTCCTATCGCGATTACACCCCGACCTACCGACTCGCCCTGTGTAAATCTAGATCCGTCGGTAATGCGTTTATAATTGCTACGCCATGTCGACTGCATTCTGCATTTTCGTTGAATTTGTAATCGACCCCGGGAACTAAGCGAGTTGGTATATTAACGCCGTCGCGACGTTATCAGCTCGTCGTTCGTCTGTCCGTCGCCTGTCGTCGGAGTATTGACTCCGAATCTGGCATATGTATATATTAAGGGAGATTACAAAAATCCAGCTAACTTTTGAGCATATTTTGTTTATCACCGCGGACGAATTTAATTTCAAAGGTGCTAGTGGAATTAATCGCGATATCGCCGGAGTGATATCAGCTGATCGTCGTCTAGTATTGACAACTACAATTGACGTTTGCGCCCTGGGTCCAATTCCATCATTCATGGGAAATAAATGTAACGTTGGAATTTTTGTATACATCTTTGTATCGAAGAGTCCTCGCGTTGAGTCGTAAATTAATGTCGCCGCCACGTTATCAGTGGTTTTATCGTCTGGCTGTGGCGTTGGCTGTCTCATTTTGTGCCCAAAATATCTCGAAATCACGGAGGCAACTACCGAAAAAACGACGATTATGTTTCGATTCACGTGAAATTTTAACGCGTAGATTCGTATGTAAAACTGTCCCCGCTGGGGAAGTGATAAGTTAACATCGCGTTATCAGCTACGTCGTCATCTGGCCGTGGCGTACTCAGAGGTCGCCTACGTATCGATTTTAACATTCGATTTCTTGAGTCGCGTGCGAAGGTACATTTAAAATATAAAGATTTGAATAACGATTTAACCGTTAAAATTTTCATGCAAAACGAAGCAAAGAGCTCGCATTTAAATGAGCTTCAGGCAGGTGATGTAATTATCGCTACATCGCGAAGCAGTAATTGTCGAGTAGCAGCCGGACGATAATTAATCCGGCTTAAAGTTTGTACAATAAAGAGAAGGAAAACACATGAAAGGCAGGGGGCATTATAGAAAATAGAGTTAAGAAAGCATTGTAACCCCTACGTCGTTCTGATAAAAGCGCCCCGCCGTCCAGGACGGACGATCAGCTGATAGCAAACCGTACGACACATGCGCAACGCAACTGGTGTAAGGAATCAAAACAACAACTTGTCGCGCAAATCCCATTCCACGCTTCTAGGACATCCTTGCTTACTTTCCGAACCTCTGCGACTCCATATCGGACGGTACAAAAAAAAAAAGAAAATGAAAGTATAAAAATGATTAAATGTCACCACGACAAGGTGTAAAAATTGTACGCAGTTTTAATGCCCCTCTTCGTTCATTCTTTTAGTATAAGAGATAATAGAAAAAAAAGAAAAGGAAATTAATGTAAAGAATAAAACTTTAATGAAAACCGTTCTTACCCAAGGTGTAGTTGTCGCACGTGCTCCTCGATAAGGGGACATGTAGCCTTGATCTCGAGACACCCTGGCCAAGTGCACTTGAAGACCACTGCGGGATTTGTCTGAAACATCAAGAACAAGGGGCGTAATGAATGGACTTGTCTCGTCGATGTGACAAACATTTTGCTTAATTCTCTGTCTGTCTCTTGGTCAAATAAATCGACGAAACGTGCAGCACGCGATGGGGTCAATATTGCCACAGGTTTCGCAAGGCAAACATCGCGCCAGAAGTCTCGCGAGGTAACCTTGAAAAGCTTCCGAAATCGTTCGCTCGTTTCCCGGGAGCGATAACGACCGATTGAATTTCCCCCTTTCTTGATAAGGCCTCGAATCGAGTCTACGCTACAAATCGTGGGAGTACCCAAACTTTCACGGTAACGGGAAAAAAGTGAATTTAAACGACTAACGGAAGGAAGTTCCGGTTTCCCATGGCTGACTTTTCCTCCTCTCGAGCGGGTATGCGAAGGAGAAAATAATGCCTCACGTGCGTAGAGGTAATTACTTATCGTTTCAATGATAACATCAGGTGAAGTATGTTTAGTCGCGCGCATATAACGCACAGTACCCACCCTAGTAACATGTTCGCCACGTAATGCTAACCGCATTTTACGGAACGAAATACTGGAACCTAAATGTCCCCATCAGCCGATAGTGATGCTAAAATTTTACCACGCAAATGTCCCGATTGAGCAGAAAAAAAAAGAAAAATCAAGCGCCGCGAACATTACAAATTTCCGATTCAAGAGCTACTGCCAAGGCCCAATTGATTCGTAATCTATACAAAATCCCTGCATCCTCCCCGCGACACTCTTAAAACATCCTCCGAGCCTGCCGGCAATTTCCGGCATCCCCGACCTATCGCAATAGCTTTGGTCGCCGAAATCGGCGAAAGCCGGTACCGTATTTCAGTGAGGAAGAGCACGTGCGCCCAGCGCCCCGTGCACATGGACATCGGGCCTCGGTCGCCTCGGAGCGAGTCGCTCGGCTATCATCGGCCGGCATCGGCCGCGCTCGTGGGCCGTTCGGCCGGCGTCGGTAGCGGCGTGACGTAGAGGACGCGACGGAAAATCGATGCGCCGGCTGCCCGCGACCGCTGGCTGCACGCTTCTTTGTTTACATCGTGGACGGGCTGCGCTCGCCGGGCGGACGTGCTCCGGTCACGTGGTATTGATCCCGGGGCGCGGTGCGCACCCGCATAGTTTCGCGCGGGGCCGCGAGAGGCGCTGATCGCGGCCCAGCGCTGGGACCTAAGGACCGGCGTTGGGGGACGCGAGGGGGAGCTCGAACCTGCGTCCCCCTCCGCCCCGAGCGCCCGCGAGGCACGCCGAGTGCACCCGCGTACTCGAGCGAGCTCCGCGTCGAACGTAACCGGAGGTTATTGCCGTGCGCCATCGCGCTATCTTAATTGCAAAGTGCGCGCGGCCGAGCCGAGGCTCTAATAGTCCGGAGGACATTATCATCGTGGCGAATCGCGGGGCCCGAGCCGAGCACCCCCGACCGAGCCCGAGCCACCCCGACGATGCATCGCCGTGTGCGTCCGCGGTCGGATGACGCGGCCGCGTCGATGCGGGCCTCTCCTCCCGTGGGAAGGGTCCTTCACCCCTGAGTCACCCTCGGCGTGCACCGCCGGCAGGGGGGGCCACCGAAAATCTCTCATTCCCTCTCTCTCTCTCTCTTTCGCGTCCTCGCTCCCTCCCAGTCTGGCGGCAGCCCCCTCGCGCTTTCCTCGCTTCGCCGACCTCCCTGGATTTACTTGAACCGACGAATTTAACCCTCGGTAGGCTTCGGCCCGGTCAAAGAAATCTTCCGCGCAATTTGCCCCGGAGAAACGGCTTTTTTGGACAAAGTAAAGGGCTAATTGGCGCGATCCGGGCTCCGTGCACGAACGTGGACGCGATTCGAGACCGCGTACAGGGAGGGTGGTTGAAATGGAAGAGCAACCAAGGTGGGAAAAAAATTATCCAGATTTCGAATTATAGAGAGATCACGTGATAGGGAGTTAATTTGATCCGTAACCGGAGTATTTCGCGAATACGACTTAACGGCGTTCACCACCAAGTGAGGACGATGACTTCCACCGCTAGATGGCATTAGCATCGAATTCGGTGGGAGGTTATCAAAACGTACTTTCTCGCTCGGATGAGGGAGACGCGACGCATAATGGGCAGTGTTTAGCAACGGGCGAAAAATGTGTGTGTATTTTGCACGTATACAACTCACACAACGGCTAGACGCCTCTGGACTAGGCGCCGAAACGTGTGTGACCCTCGGCCGCACGCACACGCAAGTTGGACGCTCCGCCTAGAGTCGACAACGGTTGCTAAGGAATGCCCAAATTCCGCGCGAGCAACTTGAAAATCCTGAAAAAGGTGCTCCACGGGGACAACGATTTTGAGCGTATTTCTCAACCGATCGAGCTCAACGAGTGCTCGTTTTAAAGACAAAATGTTGACGTGTGTTTATATGGGAGCGATTTTCGATCGAGCACCTCCTTCCTAGTTAAAATGGCATTGAAATTATGTCGTTGCACTTTTTTATATGATAATGACCACTTATCGAAAATCGCTCCCATATAAACACAGGTCAACGTTTCATCTTCGATATGAGCACTCGTTAAGCTCGATCGGTTTAGAAATACGTTCGGAATCGTTGTCCCCGTGCAAAATCGCTGGAGTGGTGAGCGCCCTTAATTAATCTTCGAGGCACCTCGGGTCTAGTGCCGTTTGTGTAAACCTGAAGGAAGTGGCCGACGAGCCGTCGAACAATATGCAACGCGATTGCATACGGAATAACCGGAATAACCCTGGAAATTCCGTTTCGATTGAGCCTCTCGATGCGGTAAGAGGATATAGCAATACCAGGACAATAGAGTCGTATCCCCTTATTACATGAAACGGCTCGATCGTAGCTCGGGGGAACTTGAATTATCGAGGACGAATTTCGTTGCGTATGTTGGTGACGTCATTCGACTTCGATGATCGAGATTAGGGGTTTTTTAGTACACCCCGACGGTACTCTTGCTACCGTCGTGATCACAGGGTGCCGCAGTAATGCGTACCGACGATCAATGTAAATTACCGAACGATTTGGTGTTCACGGTGAAATGCACCAATGAACTCTAAATTATGCAACACCTTATACTTAACGCCGCTCGTTACGTGTTAACGTCTCCCACATAACCGACGGTAATTCTGTTGTACCCGCGACGAGTTGCGGAATTTATATAACGACATTACGCATGTATTGTTACCGGAAGGAACAAAAAGGTATTCTCTCCCAGGAAGACTTCGTCCCCCATGTATCGTAACGACTGCCCAAATCAGCGAGGAATTCGTTAATGGAATTACGCGAAGCGTGCATCAATACCGACCCGCGTATTATGATAATTAAATCATCGTTGAATCGAAGGTACTTCTGGATTGAAATATTGTACATAATAAAGGGTGCTTCAAATTTGTAAGCGTTATACGAGGGTTTAAGGTGAAGTGAAACCCCCTTCAAATCAGTCGATTCTAATACAACACTTTTTTTTAAGGGTATTAGACCAAACTGTCCGAAACTTTGACACACCACTTCTGATCGTCTAAGAATTGTCCTGACACATTCAAAATTAGGATTTTTTAACAAAATTTTTGAACTCAGCCCAGACCAGAACCAAAATGGCGTCGAGCTCTCATATTTCGATCAATATACAATTATCGAAGGCTCTGATATGAGAATCGAAAGGGTCAGGACAATTTTACGACAATTTAGAACACTCTGGTAATCGATAAACTGGCATTTGAACGAGATAAAGGCAAGAAAAGTGTTGTATACGCTTCTATGCTAAAAGGATGGTAATTTGAGGCCTCGGAGTGCAAATTTAATTGACCTGGAAATTACAGATGGCGCAGGGGGTCCCTCTGCAGGTTAATTAGGGCCCCAGAAAGCACGAATCCAGAGGATTTCTGGAGGTTTGCTTCGATTTCTTGATATACATTGTACGAAAACGACAGGTGGAGTATGCCATTTGGTACAATACCTAATATAATTCGACCCAGCTGTCGATATAAAAACGAACGTCGGTAACGTAGGCATTTAGAAAAATCTTCTTTATCGACGTTGATCAAGTTCCTCGCCGTGTTTCACTTCACCTTAACGGATACCCGGCACCCGTGTCACGAGGTGTCAGAGGCAAATCAATTCCGTCAGCTTCCTCGTGGTCGCAACGCCTCGGTCCATTAGTAAGTACGCAGAGGTAAGTAGCACTCACGATGACGCGTACATCGACGTAAAGGCTGCCCGTTAATGACGTCAAACGACGGCTGGCGTGGCCGCAACGTAAACAAAGTAAATAACGAGGAGCGTTCCGATCGTTTCCCGGCGAAACGGAAAACTCCCTCGACCAATTACGCAAACCTACATGCTCGTAAAACGTCCCGATGTTTGCATGACACTTCGGTGCACGGAGTCAAAGACTCGACGCCAAATAATTCCTTTGAAAGATACAAAGAGCAGAAACCGAACGACAACTTCCCGGCAAATCATTCACGGTCGAGGTGTTAAAAACGACCGGATGCTCCGTTCCCTCCGTTCAGCGTCAAACTCGAAGTGCATATATTCTTAAAAATGCCGAAATAAATCACCGTTACCGGTAGATCGAACGCTACACCGAGTCTCCGTCTCCTTCCCGCGAGGGATAACGACACGGCGATAAGCGGCGAGAGATCGGTGACGCAAACGGCGTCACCGTAGCCTACCGTTAATCGCACTGATAGCCGGCCAGTCGGACTACCGTTAACGTAAGTGACGTGGCCACGTAACCGGGCTACGTCACCGGAGCCGCTCGGAGGGGGCCCCCGTTAAACCGTACGAAAATCGGGAGGGTCGTGAAACGGGATGGGTCCTTGCGGATAAGAGTTAGCGCAACGATCCCGTCGTTATCGACGGTGACCGTTATTGTACGGCCCGGAAAGATATACGAATCGAGAAACAAGGGGGAGGCGGGGCGGGGGGGATGACGCCCTGAAATATGGCGCGGAACAAACGACGGGAACTTCCGCTACGTTTAAACGCCGGCCGG